CTTCATAGGTCCATTTCGATTTATTCAGTTGGACGAAAGCTATTTCAAGAAAATACCTGAATTTTATAACATATGACTAATTCTTTCTCAAACTCGGGAATTTTGATAAATTTCCTATAGATTCAGATTCCTGGACTTCGAAAACATTTAGTCTATTTTCTTAAAATAGTAGTCTATACATACACGTTTAGACCAATGCAAAGCTGTACGTAAGACCGGTGTACTATCACCATTGCATTTCTATTTACATTTAGTTCGACAAATAAAAAAAAGGAAATATTTTCTTTGACTCATTAAAGAATGTTCTATTGAAAAATGTAAATAAATCTTGAATAGTTCTATTAATTTTTCATTATTTTTATTTAATTCTATTTAAAATTTGCTTTTTATAGTTATAAATAAAGGAACTAGAACGTTTTAAATATGACCAAAACAAAAAATTAAACAACTTCTGAGTAATATATTTTTTATTATAATCTATGCCTATGTTAGACCGCCAAAGTTTCTTAACATTTCATATTAGTCGAGATATAAACATGAAAATCCCATGTTGATTGACTGCTGCTTGAAATGTCATATGAAACATATCGTTCTATACGATAATGAACAAGTGTCTGTTATAAAGTATTTTGGACGAATGACCACGAAAATTATATCATTCGAAAGAACATTCCAAGCTGTACAAAATGATCTATTCATTCCTTTCTTTGGTACTTAGAAGATTACATTTTCTTTGCATGTCTAAAGTACGATTTTTACACTAAGTGCCCCATCAGTCAGTAACGCTATAAACTAAAGAGTCAAAATTTGGCGTAGGTCTGGCTGGGACATTCAGAAAAGAGTAACATATTAAAAAAAATTAGTTAAATATAAATATTTTATTCGAAATATACCTTACGAGGGATCTATTCAATGATAACAAAATTATTATTTGTTTTATTTGAAAAACTTAAAGGTGAAAATTCTTAACATTAAAATCTTCATATATTTCTATCAATTGATTTTCATCTAATCAATTTATGTCAATAATTATTCTTGATTGAATTAAAAATAGACGATGTATAGAATCTATTCTTCTTGTTTGTTTTTTTTATTATAAATAAAAACGGAAATGAATGTCATATCTTGTCAGAAATAAATCCTTGATGTCAGACTCTTTTAAAATTTCTTTTCCCTAATTTTATAAATATCTATTCATTTCAATAATAAAATGACACTCGGAAAGAAATCACTTAATCCATTCGATCGTTTATAATAAAAGAAAAAAAGCTTTTAATTATCATATAATTTTTAATAAAATAATTACCGATGATATTTTTTCTTGTTGATAATGAATTCGTTTTCTTCGTTCTTCACCAATTTTATTAATCCAATTTATATTTGATTTTTTTATAGAATTTTTTTGACAAATTTGATCAAATATTATTTTTGCATATGCATTTTTCTTTCTATCATATATATCATAACATTTAATAAGTATTTCATTTAAATTTATACATTCATCTTTTGAATATATTTTTCCTGTTCTTGAATTTATATTTAATGGTATTGATGAATCAACAAATTCATAATTAACAATTGATGATGATGATAAACATTCGATTTTTTTAAATCGATGTACAACAAATCTTATCGGATCCATATGATAAATAGGCGATGTAAAAACTACATCATTAGATGAATCAATAATTGTATAGTAAAGTTTTAAAATCGATGACTACAAAAAAAAAACAAAAAACCAAATATCAAAACCATCCAGCAAGAGAATTCTTTTCAATTGATTATCCGAATTCTGTGTATAAAGGATAGACTCTAGTGAAATATTAAAAATCTCAAAAGGATAAATTCAGTTAGGCTTTCTATTCAAAATTATAGGTATTTTATTGGATTGATATATATCAAGCAAATAAACTTGTCTCAGATCAAAATATCATCCATCATTCGATTTATTGATCTCTATCATGCTAGTAAAAACGTCTATAACTCTGAAGATAGAAAATCTAGGTTTTGATTATGCATAGAATGTGAATTCAAAAACGATCGATCAGTTCAAAAACATTCATTTTACATAAACATCAATCAGACAAATTAACCTCATCCCCCCCTTCTCCATTTATTTTTCCTCCTGAACAAATAGTCGATTCGCGATAGAAACACAAAAAAAAAAAAAAGACGTATGAGTTCAACTTTGCGTGTAGACTATACTAATGTGACATCGAACAATTTGATTAGATCACACTTCAAAAAAAGAAAAAAAAAAAAGAAAATTTTCTTTACTTGATTTCGATTGATTGTGCATAGAAGTCGTTGTTGTTGCGTAAAATTATAGTTTTCAATTGTTTTATTTAATATTAAATCACCATATTTTTTATCAATATCAATATCAATATTTAATTCATTATTTTGTTTTAAACATTGATTAAATTCATTAAATCGACTTGATTTTGTTTCTTCAAGTAAAACAAAACCATGTTGAGCATTCTTTGGTATAATTAAAACATCACTATTAATTGTTAATAAATTTACTAATGATGGAATAATGAAAAATAAAACTAATAAATTATATAGATGGTGATAATAATACATTGTTCCTTTTTTTCGTTTCTAAAAAGAAAAAAGAAAAAAAAGATAGAAAAAGCTAAAAGAATAGAGTTCACTAACAATAGACTATCGGACACTTGTAGAGTATGTTGAGAAAAGAAAAGAAGGATGTGTGTGTCTGTTCTGTTCAATGATGATGAACCAGTTCTATACGTACGCGCTTAGCCTCATTCGCCATCCACAAATTGAGCCGGTCATAAAGAGAAAAGAGAAGGAAAAAAAAGGGAGAGGGGAGATATACATGTATATATATATATATGTATATATATATAGTTACTCCAGCCGCCGTAAAATGATCGATTTTTATTGTCCAAACGAGTGCGGGTGAACGAACGAATGGTAGGTCGCAAGAAAAAAAGGAAGAGACAAGGACGGCAGCATGAACGTACAATATATATATATATACATTTGTGTACGGCCCTCAAGAGTCAAATGAACAGACGAGAAGAACGAGAAAGCATCGCCAGATGGTCAATCCAATGTTAGATTTGTCTTTATAGTATGAAGATGTATGTTTTAGCAAATAATGAAAAGCTAGAAAATATCATATAAAACAAAACAGATGACAACGAGGATAAGCCTTAAAACATCGTCAAGATTCTTTCTCGAACAACTTCTTTTCTTTACTTTTTTTTTGTTTTATGTGTCTTCTATACAAATAGACAGAAATATTTGTTTGTTTTATCAGGTCACAAAAGCATTTGATTATATGCGACATGATTTAAGAGAACGAAGAAAAAAAAAATCCTATGTCTCAATCTATTGTATAATCGATCACTACTATATGGAACAAAGAAAGCAAAAGAATTTTATAAAAAAAGACAAAAAAAATGTTTCTTTTGTCCGAATATCAATCAAATATGTTGTTTTTTTCGTTATATTTTACTTATTCTGTATGTTTGATGCCCTTTAGTGCCGAATTGTTTGAAGTATATAGTTCCGTCTATCACACCTCATTCAATCATTTTTATTATTCTATTGTCCTCACCTCATCATATCAAACGCATTCGGGCGTCAAACACAAACAGAGACGACGACTATACACATCTAACTCTCTCTTTTTCTTTCTTACGCGAACATACATGAGTTATATTGTTGAGAACACATATATAGCAAAAAGAAAAAAATCGTCTACAGTTCTCGTTTACTATAACGACAAGAAGAAGAAGAAGAAGAAGAAGAAGAAGAAGAAGATGAAGAAGAAAAGATAAAGAACAAAAAGAGAAAAACTTCTATATGTTGAATATAAGAGAAAAGAGTTCCATCGTTGGCTAACGTATAATAAGTGAAGAATGAGCGTTCAGCAGCTGCAACGGCAGGATGAACTTTTGTGCAAGAAAGAAAGAAAGAAAGAAAGAAAAAAAATCGAGAGAATAAAAGAAGGTCATGAGCGCGAGCAAACGAGCGACAAGAAAAGTTATTCTATAGTAAGCAGATATAGCGCTTCTCCAATTACGAATAATGACATTCTGGTATATATAGTAGACACGCGACACAATGAATAGTACTATAAATGTCTGGTACTTTTTTTTTTACGCTTGTTTTTCTTCTTTTTTCCTATAATAAATGTGAAGAGGAATAATTAAATGACATTTAACCAATACTATGTTCATCTTTGACCCATATCCGAATAAACATATTGTGATAACAGCAGGGAATAAATGCTTATAGCTTATAGGCACAAAGAGGCAATAATAAAAAATGACTGTCTAAAGTAATCAAAATTACAACCTGTTGGGAAAATGAATTAAAGATGATAAGAAAAGACAAACATTTCTTTTTTTTTTTTTAACCAGAAATAAATCGAATGATTAAAGAAAATATATAGCACATGTTATTTTTAATCAAGATAAATCATAAAATTCATTTGTTATTCCATTAAAATCAAAGCCAAATCACAAAAAAAGAAAATTGCAAAATGAAAGAAGAATTGAATTTTTTTTCTAATTGAATGAACACATCACAATAATTCGAAAAAAACAGTGAACGATTTATTATATTCATTCTACTATAGTTACCGATTAAGATACTCGAATCATTGTCATATAAAACCAATAGAATGAAAATGACTTATTCAATATGATCATTGGTTTTATTAAGTAAATGTAGAAACATCTTTCAAATAGAAACTGTCAATATGACAGAAGATATAGAGAAAGAAAATTGAATTTATTTAAGTTAATATCATTACGAGAAAAAAAAATATATCGGATATTTTTGAAAATTTTACTGTAGTCAATGAAATCTGATTATATATCAAGATAAAAATAAATTTGTATATCTCTGTCAGTCATGCATCATTGATCGTCATTTATCATAGATTGTCAAATCTTTAAACATAATTTTTAATCAAAATTGGAGAAACAAAAGTAAAACAAAAATTTACAATATATTTATATTTATTGTACATTTCTAGAATGATGAAATATATTTATTTTTGATTGTTCAATTTGTGTTTTAACTTCATAAAAACTTTCTTTAATATGTGGCCAAAAGATATCAAAATATGACCATGTATACAAAAAGAAATTTTGTAAAAAGTCATTAAGATAATTTACTAAAGAAAAATGTATTAATATAAATTGTACAAAACGATAAATCATCGGAAAGGTAATTACAAATGTGCATATATATGTTATCAATGCAATTGACATTGTTAATATGAGAGAATTATTATAACGATCATAAACATGAGCACCAGCTGTTATACTTATACATAATGATGTTAAAATTCGAAGAATTTCTAAACCATGTGTTAATAATAATCGACCAATAAGTAAATATGTCAATAAAGATAAAACTAATCGTAATAAAATATTTATTGGAAGTATTATTAGAATACAAATAGTGATTATAATGTTGCATAAATGTAATATAAAATATTTTGATGGATCATGAATATATGTTATAGACAAATATTTTTTACTAAATTGAACTCTTTTTTGATTGATTTTTTCTCGAAATAATTGTAATTTTAATCCAATATTATAAGCAGATTTAATTATTGAACGACGTAATATATGATATAATAATGGATAAATCAAAGCAAAATAAAATGTTAATAACATAATTAAAAGAAAATATTTTGAAATAAAATGTTCGTCAATTCGTCTATATATAATATATTTACATAAAATAAATGATGAAAATAAAAACATAATTATATTTGGTTGAAATAATATTAAATATATTAAATTTGTATATAAATAAATAAATAATAAACTTATAATTAATATTATTAATAACCATAATACATTATTAATTAAACATGAAATAAAAACATGATATATTAAATAAAATATTATAAATAAATTAACAAATTCACAATAAAATCTTCTATAATTATTATTTCCTTCTAAATATGTTCGAATATTTAATAGTGTTATATTATTTATAAATTCTTGAATTGAATTACTAATTAAAAGATTATTTAACCATGGAAATAAAAATGTTGTTAATAAAATTGTTAATGGAATATTTAAAAATGATTTTATTGGTATAATATAATATTGTATTATAATTGCAAATATAAATGGATAAAGATGTCGATCAATAGCTTCAAGTATGTGCCATAATGTTGTTGTTACAAGAATTGTTATACTTATTGAAATACATACATTAAAACTAATACCAAAGAATAAATATGAATAAATTTCATATCCACAATAAATTGCTGGACCAATTGAACCATATATTAACATAATACGAATACTTTCAATTGGCCATAATTTTTGATTTAATTCAAATATCCATATTGATGGTAATATTTGACAAAATTTTGTACTATATGGACGAAGAATTTTATTAGAAAATAAATCAATAAATTTAAACCAATAATTAATAAATTTATTTATTATAGGTAATATATAAATAAGAATAAATGGTATTATATACCAATAATTAAGAAGTAGAATTAACAAACTACTTGTTAACCATATAAATGTATGTTGATAACGATATTTATAAGCTACTTGAGAACCAACTACTAAACTGATGATTGATGCTGCTAATTTAAGAAGAATTTGATTTTTATAAGCTTGACGCATAAGATTTTTAGCATAAAGTTTTAAAACCGCAAATGGTCCAACAATCGCATACATCAATACAATGAGCAGTGGCGTCATGTTATTTTTAACTTTACAACTCTATCGTTTGACGAGAACGATGCAAATGTATGTTTCTTCACGCCCACTGACAGTCGCTCGCATACGCATAGCTCTTGTTTCACATCTACAGAATTGCAACGAAAGCATGCAATTGCAATCGCAATGAGTGTAACCGATGACAAAACAAGGTGTACAATGCGTGCATATCGTATTCATTTACACAACTTTTTTTAAAAATAGACAGCATACTAATGATACATTATTGAGTCAATTTCTTCTTCGGTTTTTTTTTTTTTTTTTTTTTTTGTATATATATTTATTTATAAACAACAAGTGCATTTGTTTTGTTATAAATCAAATAAAGAAATTATAAAAAAAAGAAAAGAAAAGATAAGAAAACAGAAAAACAAAAGCAAAACAATCATATACATTTATATATATATTATTTATTTCTCATTCTATGATGTGAATTGTTTATTTTCTTTTATATGTACTATGATTTAATAGTGATTTAGCTGATGCTAAACGTCTTTCTAAATGTTCAATGTCTCTTTCAAGTTCCTCTTCTTCATTTGTATTTGACATAATTGTATGGATTGGATTATTATTTATTGTGGAATTAAAAGCTAAAGAAAATAGAAAAATAGAAAAATTTAAATCAATAATAAAAAATTTTTTTTTCTTCTTCTTGGTTTATATTTACAATCATTATATTCAAAATTTTTATTTTTATCCATTAGTAAAAATGTTTTTGTCATTGCTAATTCAAGTTTTAATTCATTTTGACGATGTTTTAATTGTGATATACGTTGTTGACGATGAGATTTATCACGAAGCTATAATAATGAATAAAATAAGCCGATGAATATAATTCTATTCTCTCTATTTCAAACTTACAATTGGACTATTCCATGATGTATTAGGATTTGAACGTCGTTCATCTTATAATAACAAAGAAAATTGTTTTTTTATTTGTCATTGCAATCAATCTGATTTGAAAAGACTGTTTTTTTTTAGTTTACAAGTCAAACTATCTTAACAGAAAGTTGAATATTTGTCAATAGACTTATGATAAGCAATGAGTTCTTCAATCTTATTAACCTTTTTTTCGATATTTCTTATAAACATCTAACAACTAGTGAAGTTCGGTAGAACATTCAATCGGTCTCAGAATAGTTTTGTTTTTATTGCAGATTAACAAATCGAAAACAATCTGAGAGTAGATTTGAACATGCCAGTCTCAGTTCTGAGGCCGAAAATGACTGATTTCACTTATGTCTATCTTAGAGTTGCTGTGAACTTTGTGCATTTTGTTGCAAAATGCTAATAGAAAAAATTTTCAAAGAACCATTTGAATGAAATATTCATTTCAGATTAATAAACATTAACCCTACGATAGAAAAAATTTGAATTAATTTGTAAAACCGAAGGCACAAAATGAACTCTGCTAATACTTAAAAGATTGACTAAACTTTCTATCTCAATGATTGTTGATAATTTTCAAAATGTAGCTAAACAATAAAAAAAAATCAGTATCTCCAATCTACTTTAATCAATTAGACCGAATTTTTTTTCTCGATGATAGAAGACTCTTCAAAGATTTTACACATAGAGAAACTGTCAAATAGATATATTGAATTCAATGAAGAAGAAATATATGTCAGTAAGATAAGTCCGGTCTCGTTTACTTCAGTTTAAGAAGAGTTAGGTCTACTCACTCTGAGTCTTATAACTCAAGAAAAAAATAAGAAACTTATGCGTCGCCGAACCTATCCTTATGTAATCTTTTAATCCAGCTGTTTACGCTATGAATTTCATCCAAGTGTTTAAAAATTGCGAATATTTAACACAATGATAGGTTGATCAGATCATAAGCTTCTTTTCTTCTAGACTTATACTGAAAAGAACTATAACAGATCGAGAATGAGCTCCCTTCGTTTACTTACATCCGAGATGATACAAGTAGACAGGTTATTTCTGGTAAATTACTATCCACAGATGGAAAAGTACAGCTACTCGCCAGTACAATGCCGGTATGGATTTCAGACTGATTCCATCTCTAACTAACGTTGCATATATATCAAAAATTTCAGATGTGTATGTCTTTATTCATGACAATAGTGTTAGTGCAAAATAGAAATCATTGATGGTTTACCTAGTAGATAAAAATTTTGAAAAATCGCCTATCAACAAGCGAAAAAAGACCAGTCCTATTAGAAATATTGAGTGTTTTTTTTTGTATCATCTAGTTATTTACGATTCATCCTATATATGTAAAAAACTCATTAGAGTCATCTGACATTTAACAAAAAAGAAATCCATTAGTTGATTAAGTTCAATTCATAGAAAACTTTTCAGACACTCGACATAAATTATGTGCAATATATTATATCCTTGGTTAATATATTTTTTAATTTAGAAAATTATCTTTTGAAATGAAATTTCTTCTTTTTGTTTTATTATTTGAATTCAAACCTTTTCGTATTGATTTATTTCTTAATTTAATTGAATTATTTTCATTATTCATAATAATTGGTATTGATGAAATCATTTCTTCAAATGTTGTATTACTCATAGATTCATAACCACTTGAACTAGCACGTCCCGATGCTGATGATGCTGTACTACTTGTTGTTAATGGCATTAGATCATCATGTGAATCTAATGTAACTGTTAATGGTGATATTAATGGTGAAGATTCAATAACAGTTGGTATTAATGATTGTGGTGGAATTGATGATGAACGTAAACCAAATAAACGTTGAAAAATTGATGGACGTGTTGGACGATTTGATTCGGAAAGATTTTTCGATTTTTTTATTGTTGATGATGATGATAATGGTAATAAATGATGAGGCGTATTTGGTATTGAGTTTAATGGTGTTCGTGATTGACGATTTTGAGATTTAATCACAGGTGAATTTGGTACTGATAAACCGATTGATGAATAATGAAGATTTTCTGATAATTGATTATTACTTTAAAAAAAAACAAATAATAGATATATTATTTTTTAAAAGAGTAAAAAACAAAAAAACAAAATCTTACTTAAATACTTGATTAAAACGTGTTGGAGAGATAATTCTTGATAAACGTTTAGTTTTTTCATCATTTGACATATATGATGATAATTGATCAATATGATTTAATGATTGAGATATTATGGATTGTTGTTTATCATTATTAATTGATGATGGAATTAATAATGTTTCAAGTGTTTTTTCTAATATTTCCATATCATCATTTAATTTATTTGTACTAGATTTAAAATCATTTTTTAATGATTTTTTTATATCGAATAATTCATTCGAACGAAATGGTATTAATGTATGATCTTTAAATACTGGTAATACAGGTAAATGACAATGTGAACTAATTATTGATTCATTATCAAAATTTGTTATTGATGATGATTCATCATTATCTTTTTCTATAATTGTTGATGATAGAAATGATGGTTTTGATAAAAGAATAGAATTTTTAGATTTAGATGTATGTTGACGAATTGATTTTGAATGTATTTTTGATTTTGATTTTTTACGATGATATTTATTTATTGGAGAATGATATTCAAATGGACCATCAATCCATATTTCAGTTTTTTTTGAATTTATTGAACTTAATGGACCATCAATCCATATTTCTTCATTATTATGATTTATGACTGTTTCAACAGATGATGAATCAGTACGATCTTGAGACATCTAAAACAAAAACAAAAATAGAAATATTTTAAGATGATATATAAACTTGTTGTCAACAGTCTGGCTATTAGCTAAAAACTATTCAAATATGCGAATTCTTCTATTATATTATATTTTAGACATAACAAAAACATAAATAACCTTGATAACCAGGGAAAATTATATTTTGATCAGCCTTCAATGTGCAGAAATTACAAGGTCAATAGATCTTTTTTTTTTTTGCTCAGACGAGAATGTTTTAGAATTAGTAACAAATCGTATAGCATTTGATCGCTTATTTGAGTACTCATTGCGTTTGATATTACCTAGAAAAATTTCATATTAAATGATTGTTACTCGTTTGATTTATGAAGTTCACTTTAGATATTCTTAGCATGAGAATTGATGAAATCTAACTTTTAATTCCGACTATTTTCAAATATTTGCTCTAGTGAGTTCTATGGCCTAACTTAAATATTCGCTCTGGAAATTTAATGATTATAGTCCTTGGTAGAATGAAGATCTATGCAAAGACAATTCAAGATCACAGTAAATTAATATCTATTATTTTCGACATAGTAAACATATATCGAGACTTAATTATTGATAAAAAGATGGATATTAACGCTTCAAAACAATGACGAACTAAAAATCTATGAAAAAAAAAGTAGTGTTTTTATTCTAAATTTGAATACATTAATATCGATCGACCTTGGGTTGGCACTTGCACAGAGAGTTTATTGAGTTCTGTTTATTATAAAACTATCAAACAAAAAAAAACAGGTTTGATTTTTATTCGATAGCGCAGACTTTTGACATCTATTGTATATATATTTATATAAGATTAGGGCTTTTTTTTGCCAATAAAAACATCGATTTTCGATATATGAAAGCTGGTTTAAGAGAATATGGTTTATTTAGTATTTATCAACTTTAGTTAATATATACTTGATATGAAATTGATTAACTGTTGAAAAGATGAAATATTAGCAGATGTCATTAAATACTTCTAATCTATCAATGAAGAATTTGCAAATGAATGTCAAACAACTATCGAGTACAAGAGTGAAAAACAGTATACTGCACGAATGTTTGACATAAGTCAATCAGATCGAAGGTTTTGTTTCGAAGATTAAATATTCTTTTCATAGAAATTCTTTCAAAATAGACAAAAAAAAAAAAACAAATCGAAATTATTATCTCAGCTAGTATTGCTTTTTATCTTATATGAAACTTGACATCAGTTAATCTTTTTGTCATTTGACCGGACACGAGTCGGACTATATTCCGCATATATCTAATCGAACCTGTGACAATTAACAGTAAGTTTGGTTGATGAATAACTTTAGTTTTTGTCTTACTTATATATCGAACAATACGCAAGGATCGTTACATATCTTGTATTCAATATAGATTTTAAATAAACAAATACGAATATGTTACGCCAAAAGAAAATAATCAACTTTTGTAGTCTCCAAATTTTACTATTACGAATTAAGCTCCTTTAAAAATCCATAATAAGAGAAATGTATAGTTCAGAAATTCATTTAATCTACTTTAAAAAGAAAAAATAAATTTCTACATAAGTTTATTCGAATCATCGTATATGATTCAAATTTATAAATTTTCGTAGAAGATATTCAATCGATAGATTTATCTAATAATCTGATTTTCTATTGTAACATCCTTTATTTTTTGTTCTTACTTTCAATCGATGTTGTTTTATTCGAAATAGACGTTGAATTTTCATCCAATATTTTAATTGTTTATCATTTTTAACATTTGCAAATAAATATAAAAAATTTTCTGAATATTGTTCTATATTATTTAATATATATCGACGTAATAATGATGATAATGATTGTTCGATCGTTAGATTACGCTTTCTATTTATACAAATTATATATATATATATTGTATAGACTACATTTTGGTAAAAACATTAGCAAGAAAAAAAAAAGCATAATTAGTAAAACTTACTTCAATGTATTATATGATTGTTTCTGTCTATTTGACGAGAATGATAATGCTAATGACATAAAAATATCAGAAAATTGTTCGTTTCCTATTTCATTATCATTATCATTGGTAAAAAGTATATGAAATTGTGCTTGATTTGTATTTGTTGAACGATATATAAGATGAAATGTAATTAATAATGGATTATATCGATGATTTGAACAAAGATTATTTAAATATTGACATGTTTCATTTTGAGATGAAACCAAAGAATCTTTTGTTGATAATAAATAATTTACTATTAGAAAATAAATATTAAAGTTTTTTGTTTTTTGTGAAATTATTTTTCAGATTAATATTTACTTTCCGATGTTTTATGATTTAAAAATTTTTGTACACTAATACGAAGAATTAAATCTTTATCTTGATTATTATTAACAAAATTATCTAAGCGTATAAATGATGATGATAGAATTATAGTTTGAAGTTGATGAACTATAAAACAAAAACAAAAAAGAAACAAGAAAAATTAGAAATATTGATTAATTTTTTATCAAGGAAAAAAGAAAACAAGAAATAAACAATCCTAATTTCTTGCCTTCTCGATAATGTCCACAAAGTATAAGTAATGTATTGCAAGAATTCTTTGTTAAACGTGATATACATTCGTCAAGTATACGTTCACTAATGTTCGTTGTCTGTTCATTATTAGAGAATATCTCATCGAATAATTGCCTTTGCTTGTCATTGAATGGACATAAACAACGTAGGCCAAGTCTAATCTAAACAATGCCATATAGAGAAATAAAATATGAGATACAAAAAAGATAAAAAGAATTTTTTTTTCTTGTCATGTCTCAAAGTTCATTAGTGATTCGATTTAAACATCGTCTTTCCTTACTGATCCATTAGTTATTTTACAGTGACAAAATTGAATGAATAGAGACCAATTGCATCGGTCAATCGAGAAAAGCGAAGAAAAAAAACCTACTGTCATAAGTGACTTCTATATTAAATTATTCACATCTGAGAAAAGAAAAAGGCTAACATTTAATTTATTTACTAAGCTGGTGTTATATCATATTAACTATATAGATAGTAAAATTATTCGAATGTTTTACTTACTCGTGATGATGAAATAATTTTTTTTTGATGATGATAATGATTATTATTATCATAAATACCAGAACAAGAATCTGCTGTAATAGAGGACTTCAGATGATTGACAAATGAAGATGACAACGTCGTTTGTTCTTGTTGTTGTTGTTGCATAAGTTCTATAGAATGCTTAGGGTCAACGCCGATCATCATTTGTTGTTTCGACGAGGACAAACTATAAATGAAATGATGAAAGAAGACATGCCTCTAATTTCTACTTGATTAAACGAACAACGGAAAGAAGAAAAAAAAAAAAAGAAATGTGTCATCTCTTTGTTATAGTGAATGACGCAAGTACAGAAGTATTATAAAAGCAAACATACAATACATCTGTATGTATTGAACACGTATGTGCAAGGTTATACATGATCTCTACTGACATTCTTCAACCAGAATTGAGTTTCACTCTGTAATATATATATATATATATAAAAGATGACTTCATCATTGTACTGTTTTATGTAAATATTTCGTTCTTTTTTTCTTCTCATATATATATAAACGACACTCTTATTCTATACTCTAAATCAAAGAAGTGTCCATCTTATACATATACTAATGAAGTTCTATTTTAGTGTTTTGTTTTTGTTTCATTAGATTATCTCATTTTTCGATGGCGACGAGGAGGAGTATATCAATGAAAATAACAAGAACAGCTATCATCGATCAATCAGTATATTCATATGACAGCAATATATCGTAATTTTTTAACGATGAAGGATCGACATGAGTATATACAGGGAGAGAGAGAGAGAGAAAGAGAAAAAAGAAAATAGAAACCTCGATTTATAAATTGTTTCATTGAAGAAAGGATAAGTGATGATATTTGTTTCATATTTGACAGCCATATTATATTTTCGACATCGTTTATAAAGAAAAAATTGTTATGAGTAGTATAGCTAATAACAATTTACAGCATATATATCTTAAACCAGGGTTTGGTTTCGTTTCGTTTCTTTCTTCTTCTTTTTTTCCTCCCTATAGAAATGACAAGTCAATTGACGAACAGACCGAAAATAGATATAAGATGACATGTAATGATAGAGATTCAACGTATTCTACGAGTAATTTCATACTAGAACTATTCCAAATATATCTATTGTATTGCATTATTAGAAAATAGTCTATTTATAGAATTTTAAAGTTCATAAGAAAAGAAAACAACTAAAAAAAAATATATAATTTATTACTTATTTTACAATTATTAACTAAGAACCAATATAAAATATTGTCAATTAGACCTTGATCACATATGTGTAAGACTAGACCTATAAGGCTAATTTATGTTTACTTCTATTTTTTGTCAATTAAATCTACGGTATTGCGCTAGTCTAATTTTTCTTTTCAAGAATCTAGGCCAACTACTACGAAGTATATATTATTTAAGTATCTTGTATTTTGTTTATAATAACGACATGGCGTGACCATCTGTCTTTCTTCGCAACGACAAGTCTTCTATCATGAATAAGTAGACAACAAAAAAAAATAATTAATTTCTATCACACAAAACAACATATATATTCATGTCGTTACCAATCTATAAAATGCAAGTATCAAGGATGTGAATATAAGAAAAAAGTAAAAAAAAAAAAAAAAAAAAAAAAAACAGAAATTTTTTCCAACCTTGATAATGTAAAGATGTCGAATAAACAGAAGTAAAATAAATCAGTTAGGAAAAGTAAAAGGAAGCATACGTCTCTTTTAGAATAGAACGTTTTTTCTTCTATAATCGACCTTAAAGTCAATAAAAGATCCAGTATGTAGTACGTAGTCAGTCAATGAAAATGATGTAATCAGGCAAAAGTAGTTGGGTGAGTACAGCACATATATCCGGCTTGAAAACCATCTTTTGATTTAACCAAGAGAAAAAGAAAAAAAAAAGAATGAGTATACACAAGACAGAGAAAGAGAGAGGTGTCACACAAAGTACCCAACGCCTAACTAATAAGTGCATACATGATTATATTTTCTCTCTCTCTCGCTTTCGCTATTGTCTACTTACTTATTGAATAAAGAGAATAAGAATGAAAGAACAACGATTTATTATAGGGTGGGTGATGATGGTCAGTAGAACAAATACACGATGGAATTGCTTTTAACTACCGTTTATTGTGAATGAAGATGATTATGATTTCCGCATTTTTTTTTTTATTATCGATAATGAATGATGATGTAAATTAAGATCACGATACGTCCTTCACACAGGCGACAAAGATACTAACTAACGGATGCATCAATAGAACACATAGACACTTAGTAGTAAATCTTCTCTATTTTTTGCCCTGATCAAATCTTTTTATTAACCGCTTCATTAATTGACACGTACATTCGTTAAAAAACAACAGAAAAAAAGAAGAAAAGCTTAGAAGCATAAATGGAGTACGTAATATGTAAAGCGAGACACACTAGACGAATGATAATCATGATCTATCTATGAACACTTAATGTGAATGACCTTTCACGTATGGAGATAAGTTACTCAAATTAAATGGATTAATTCAATAAATTTATCCACTCCGCCTTATTTTTGACTTCATATAGTGAGAAGTTTAAGACTAGACATATACATACTGTGAGAAGTGTTAATGACAAGAATATTTCGGAATGATCTAGAATTGACGGCGGTAAAGTTAAAAGCAAAAAGAATACAATCTCATAATCGATGTCTGCTCATTCATCGTCTAAGAGAGAACAGCTGACCTTGCACATTATTACATGTTCAATCTTTTTGTCTTCTACATATCAAGATACTAAACAATATTCATTATTTACTATTCAATAGATAAGACAGTAACTCTTCTCTTTGTGTCTGTATGTCAATGTACATATGTATATGATCATTTAAGTTTGACCGATCATACAAACAAAATTTAGTTATTAACAAAAATGAACATTTTCGAAGAAGATATATGTATATATATATGATATACAGAATATATTGCATTGTATTTTACTAAAAAACAGAGTAGTTTCTTACTTTGATATATGATGTTGATAACGTTTCATATAGTGATGATAATTGTTGGTGAGAATAGTGGATCGAAAATTCGATGAAGTGTTGTTAACGACCAAAGGACGACGATACTGTAATAACAACTCATGCAATAAGAGTAGACGAGACAAATATTTGAGTGTGCAAGGTTATAGAAGAAGAAGAAGAAGAAGAAAAAAAAAAGACATCTAATAACTATTGTGGGAAGAGAAAAAACCGACAATTTTTGCTTTTAGACATATCAAATTGTCTTTTCTTTTTATCTTTTCTTTTTTTTTTTCTATACGTAGCAAAATGAATTGAAGATATGTATATAGTTACTTGATGATCATCTTTTCTTCTATGATATTGACGATTGATACAGTTTAAATGTTCATCGAACATTGAACAATGATTTGATGTATAAAATTTGACAAAATAATCATTGACAATAGGGAATGATTTGATAAAACTAAAATAAAGGCAATAGGGTGCTTTTTTTTTTCGTGTCCTATATTTACTTTTAAAGATATTGGATCTTTAGACAATTTACATATTATATGAAATCAGAGAAGAATTTTTTCTTTTTTTTTTGTCGCTTTTAAAAGAGAATCTGTCAAATGATTGGCAAAGATGAACATCACAATTACGAACTTTTGCTTACCTATTTGATTGAACAGGCATTGCAAGTGATGCTCGTTTGTTATTATTTCGCGTATTAATGATCAATGATTGTAGCGAGTTCATTTTTAAATAGGACAAGAACGATTGATTTTTTTCTTTGCGGAAGATGAAGAAGCAGAAACAAAATTAAAGTACACTTCACACAAAATGAAAGAGCAAAAAAGAAGAAAAAAAAAAAAGGTCGGTATCAAGAAAATCTAACGAGCGTATGCTCTTTAGTCACACTTGATGATCAATCCACACGTTCTTAAAGAATAAACAGCTCAGATCTACTATTGTGTCACACGTTTCCTTTTCATCATTGAAACTTAAGACATTGGTCATCTTAATTGAGATACTGAATAGAATTGTACAATATACATATGAAAAAAAAAATGAAAAGACAGTCAATGACATGAAACAGTTTGCCTTGACTTGGTTTCGCGAGTGAAGGGAAAAAAAAAAAAGAATTCATTTTTTTCCGGCTTCATCTTACTGACCTTGTACGTACGACATCGATTCAACATTAGAGATCGCCGATGGCGATAGTATTCTTACGATTCAAACCACGTTCTAGTATGTGAACGAGAGCATCAAATGGAAAATTCAATAAAATATATTTAACAAGAAAATGAGAAAGAGAAATCTTACAATACTAGTCAATCAATTCTCTACTCTTATAAATATGCTAAATTTTCAAGTAAAACAGATTTGGTCTTCTTCATTATATGAATTATTATTAAGATTAATGATTCTTACGAATTCACCTTTGCTTCTCAACAGATTGAAAAGTGTTACACTTTGTCTTTTTTCTCTCTATTAATAATGATGAATTGGTCGAATTCTCATCCTTTACATCATACACACACACATTCTCTCCTTCCTACTCACCAGATGTGATGTCAGACAATGTGCCTATACATCTCCTTTTATTCTTATCATCATCAGTAATTTCAATTGTATTTTATGTGATGCGCGTTTATCTACCCTACCTAAAAATCTTCCGCTTTATGAAACAATATAAAATGTCCGTTCTATTACAGGTGACTATTGGTCTGATGACCCTCTCATCCACTTCAATCATACAACGAAAATCACCATCATCAACATGTCATCATTACATACTCGCACACATGCACACTCTTACATACACACAAAGAGTACATACATGCATATATACATACATATATATATTTATGAACAAAAGAAGAAATGCATATAAATTGAAAAAAAAAACGAACAGAAGAGAAGACTTGACATCTCAATTGAAATCGAACATTATGTATAGTGTAGTAAGAGCGATAAAGCAAGATGTTGCCTCACACATCAAATGATGATCTAAGTGAATAGGAAATAACTAGATGATGACGGGACGGACTAAATTTTATATTTGTTCGATTATGAACGATGAGACAAAAAGATAGAACATAGGGATCACTTACCAACGAAATGAGACGAAAGGCTTAACTAATTTTTGTCGCCAATAATTATGTAAAAGGTATTATTTCAATGGATATATATATAGAGAGAATTATGTGTTCTAAATAGGATCAGTGGCATATTTTTTTAATTACACATATTGACACTGAACTAGCGGATAGGTGCCATTTTATCAATTTCATTGGAAATTTTCGTTCGCAAAAAAAATTCAATTAATTCATTATGTGTACCAATGAAATATCTCTCAATTATGGACACATTTATCCTTCCCCATTTTTTTTCTCCTCATGTAACTATTACTACATCATATATTCTGTCGTACAAATGAATTCTTTTTTAATATGTCTGTCGACAAAAAAAAGAAAAAGATGTACAGATAGTAGTATTGTCCATCTGTTGCATGTCTTTTCCATGAAAGTCAAATAGAATAGTTGATGATTATTTCTTTTTTCTTTTTTTTTCTCTAAGAACAAACATCTTCTACACCAATCAAGTTCATTTTATTGATTGAATATTAATAATATTCGATTGAGGAAATGATAAAGAATCATTTTCATCTGGTAGAATTATACAACATTGACGAATAAATCTTAAAAAGATTTGATTAAACCAATTAAGAATTATCGATGATCGATTTTTTTCATTAGATGAAAGAGAATTGCATTGATTTTTATTGAACATTATTAAAATGAACGATAGTTGATAATAAAGTAATAAAAATGCGCTTGTACATAATTTTTTCTTTTTGTTTTATAACAGACACATCTTGTTATTTAAATATGATTCTTATCTTTCTTTTGTAATGGTATATATATATATCAAATGTATCGAAACAATTCGATTTTATTCGACGATTTCTCACTTGAATCTGTTTCGGATTATTTCTCATTTCGATTCCATTTCAGTTCGACCATAATTCATCAAAATAAAAGATTGATTGATATTTTTGTACTTTAAATACATTTACTCACCGCAGTGACAATAGAAATAATCGAACTAATATCTGCAGTTTGAGCTCATATTAGGTTCATAATGAAGTTTTGGTAAGACTAGAAAGACCCCAAAAAGGTCCACGCCCATAGGTTCTTGAAGCCGAGGTATGATCGTCTTTATTGAATTTTCAATTCAACTTTAGGTATTTACAAAAAATTAAATAACTGTATTTCAATCTGAAATTCCATCTATAAACAGGTTGAATGATTAATAGAATATCCTGAAAGTGTCAGCCGAAAAGAATGATCTTTTATCGAGTTATTGAATTTTCAAGTAAACTCGATTTTTATTTTTGAAATTCAATATCTCGACAAAGGAACATTCATTTCGGCTGAAACTTTCAGAATATTCTATTAGTCATTCGACCTGTCTATAGGTAAAATTTCAAATTGAAACTCTATAATTGCATTTTTCGGTAGATATCTAAAGTTTGATCGAAAATTCTGTAAAACCGGTCATAACTCGGTACTAGGGACTTATGAGTACGAATCATTTTAGGATTTCTCTAGCCTTAACGAGACTTCCTTATAAAGTCAGTATGAGGTCAAACGACGAGTATCAGTTCGGACAGTTTCATCGTGAGTGTGGGTGAAGATTGTATCTAAAGTAAAAAACGTATCAAATTCATTCTCGAATGGTTATTGGTTGAACAGAGTCGATACAATAATCTGGCTTAAACCAAATGATATGTCAATGATCATTATTAAGACACGCATATTGAATACGAAAAATGAATAATAAGTAACATGCAATTCACAATTACACGTCGTAATGCATTTGTACTTAATTATCAAGGTTTACAATCACCAATTCAATGTGGTAAAACCGTAAAAATGTAATTTGTGAAGAAGTAAAAAAACAAACAATTTAATTTTTCTTTTCATTATACAGTGGCCCTCATATTTATTTGACAAGGTTTATTTTCAATTTCTTTTTCATTGCTGTAAACGCTCATAAGAATCTAAATAGTGATTTATGTAGAGAATTTTATTGTCAACAAGAATTTTCTAAGATAAAAATGATGCTAATTTTCAAAGGATAGAATCTCTGAAAAATTCAAATTCAAGTTTTTTATCTTCTGAAATTCTGTTGGAATAATTCAGAATGATAGAGCAAACAATTCTCTACAAAATAAAAAAAAATATGATCGAGTTTAGAAGGTAAACTTGCAGTTTTTTTTAATTTTCTTAACATTGAAAATGTCATTGGAAAAAAAACAAGTAATCGATCAACGAGTTTTTTTTCTAAAACGAAACTGTTTCAATAATAATGACAACCATCATATAGAATGAAAATGAATATTTTCGATTAATAAAAAGAAAAAAAGAATCAAGGTTTGTTTTAACTCGATGAAAATGTTTATTGAAAGCCTATGAGAATCTGTGCGAGTATCATGAATAAGAAAGTACAGCATTTTTTACGATCTTCTAAAATTTCAGAGAAACAATTGAATGAAATTCGTAAGTCTATAAACGATCAATCAACATAAAATTATACAATTTTTGAGAATTTTAAATTAATAATGGTTGACTATGTTTAATCATATTCTTGATGAAAATTAATTTAAAGGTTAAAGACAATCGCTCTTTTATTATTTTAATCATCCATCCATAATACTTTCGAATAAGTCATTTCTAATGTATGAAAAAAGAAAAATGAATTAGTGAATTATATCTTCCAGCTTGAATCATTCCGTACTTATTGCTCAATTTTAGGATGCTACAAATCTAGAATAGATTTGGATTTGGAAAATGAATTCAATTTTGGATTAAATCGATATAAATAATTTGCAATTTGTTGTTCGTTATTAAAACACAAACTATTTATATTATTTTTGTTCAAGACTAGAATCTTGCGGAGTCAAGTTTTTTCGACTGGTATATACAGTGACTTCATAAATTAATCATATGAATTTAATTTCGATTTTTGTTCCATAATAGTAAATCGTATAAAGAATCAAAATAGTGACTTGAATAGAGAAAATTATTTCCAACAATGATTTGAGGGAAATGAAATCTTCATAGTATTCCTATCTAGCTTTTCAGCATCCAGAAACCTAAAATAAAAAGCTTCTTTTAGTTACACAGGGTGACAGTGTGACTAATTCTCTACAAAATGATACATCTCTGAGCTCTCCGCAATATGTTTTGACTGAATTGCATAAATTTTAAGAAAAGCTCAAAAATTCTATTTGTCTAGTTTTCTCTTACACAATGATGAAGAAACTCTTTTTTGCGCATTTTTTAATGTCATTGAAAAAATATCGTGAAGAGCTCGGAGATATGTCAGTTTGTAGAGAATTAGTTGCTCTATGTAATCAAAGCAAACGTTTTTTTGGGCTCTGGTCGCTGAAACGCTAAACTTGAAATTTTCTAGAGATCTTGAGTTATAAGAATAATGTGAAGATTTTATTTCCTTCAAATCTTTGTTGGAAACACTTTTCTCTATTCAAGTCATTATTTTGATTGTTTATGTGAGTTATGATTACGGCAAAAGATTGAAATTAAATTTATATGATCAATTTTTGAAGTCACTGTATATTTCTTTTAGTGCTACTTGTTAATGAAAATTTCTTTCTGATTTTTTTCTTGAAACTTATTTATGAATCTATAAAGAAGTCTATTTTTGCTGATTACTTAATATATAAAGCATAAACTTGTTGCTATATACGAGCAAAATTGCTTCACTGTTTTAATGAAGTGACTTCGTCGATGTTGAGTTTCGAACGTCGATGCAGAGCTTTGCCCAAGACAAAATTCAAACAACTAAATGTTAGGCTCCAAATTCCAAATACATTTCTAATAAATTAGATTGTTGTTAATGTCACCTTATCTTAGTAAAGCCTTTTTGAGATTTTAGTCATTTAAGATCAAATCCAAATAAAATTCAACTGTAGTCTCAAATCCAAACCAAATAATAACAACTTTCAAAACTTTAGGTTTGTTGCATTTCTGCTCAATTTCATTCTATTGACTTTGTTTTATTACTAATCGAATAAATGTTATAGATGACAATAATTTCGATCCCGAAGAAAAAACTTTCTAAGCTATTATTATATATATTTGAGTAAATTTTTGAATTATACAATCAGATGAATTCTATTTCATTAATTTTCATACTAATCATAATAAAGAAACTATATTTTGACGTTTCTTTACATGTTTTTTTTTCTCGTCATTGCTAATTAAAAAGAAAGAATGAAAATATGCATTATTTATTTACTTTCATTTGTCTTGTCATTCTATCATAAATTTTTCTTTAATATCATACATAATTTATAAATCATATATTAAATACATTTTGCAGAGACCTATTATATATTAATAAAATAGTTATTTATAAATAAAAGATAATGTAGAAATCTTGAATTGTTTCATAAAATAAATGCTCTCATTGAACTATCTTTATAGAGAAAATACATTCGTCAAAATGTTGTTTTCTTATCTATGTCATATGTAGAAGTAATTTAGTCAATAATATTTTAATTATTAACAATAAAAAACAAATAATGAAAACAATATTTGACTTAAACAATGAATTCACATTTTAAAAATTACTTTCGAATGGTTTTATGATTAATTAGATATCTATTGTTGTAACTCACTATAACTAGTGTCATGCGTTAGTAATTTATATGTAAAAGGAATGAATTATTTCTAGGAAATAACTAATATTGACATTTGTATGGAAATTCTTCTTTTTCTTTTTTGTGTATTGAGAATCATTAGAGTAGAAAATAAATCGAATATTAAGCCGGAAATTAGTGAAATGTTAATTAAGATATGATACCCTAGATAACATCAGAACCGCATGGTTTACCAAAATAGTGAAGAATTATTAAGAAGTCAAAGTAAAATAAACCTGATTTTTTCAATTTGCATTGGAGTCTCTCCTTTTAACCACAAAAAACTAATATACGACAGTGATTATATTAATTTTATAATAGTAAATATTCAATCAATCATAAGATAATTCGAAATCAGCCGATTATTTCATTTGTAATGATTAGAATAATTACGACTAATAAGTTTGTAAATGTGATAGATGCTTTTAGAGTAAACAATCTATAGTAATTTTAAAGGGTACATTGTAATGTATGTTTTCTCTATAAAGACACGTGTATGAGAGCAATTACTAATAATACGAAAATATTAATCATAGAAAATGAGACACTCTTTATATATATGTGGTTTTTCAGAAATGAATTTTATATTAGATAAGATTTTCTTTTAAAGATATATCAATTGATGAAAAATACTAGAAAAAGATTTCGATATATTTTTTTTTTTATTTGTAGATTGTAAGAAATTTATCTAAGAATCAAAGACAGCACATAATAATAGAAAGATTATCTTTTATGTAGGTCAGTAAGGTCTCTTAAAGATATAATGCATAGCAAGCATATTTAATAAACAGGCAAAAAAATTTCTGATTAATCTTCGAAGATATTCAGAGTTAATATACAAATATATTGGTAAACAATGAATGTTTATTTTTTCCTGAGTTAACAAAGAAACAAGAAAAAAACAATGTAATGACATAGGTTAAAAAAGGTATACCTTTCCTTGATAATACCTCAATCAAGTTTACTTGTATTCCAAAAAAAACACGTTTTTTTGAAATCAAGCACCGATAATCATTCATAACAATCAAAGCAACCGCAAACACATGAACACACTTTACTTTCAAGTGAAATAATAACATGTTTGAAAAGTTGTTGTTGTTTTTGGTATGAGAAAAAGAAACAAAAAGAAAGGTATTGTAAGGATGTATCATCAAAGCTAGAGGTCGATCACTTGTATACATATTTCGTGTGACAAACATGAAACAATCATTCTATCCATAATAACCTACACAATGAATACATCCTATGGCGTTCTATTAAATAGGTAAACGTCTGAGGTGTATATTTCTACTTAAATAAATACCAGTCACATTTATTTTTTGTTTTGCTATCTATCTATAACATGTTGTTCTTCTCTCACATCGTGTTTTTTTCCTGTTGAGATAGATCATATGCATTAAAAACTAGAGAAATCAAATGATAATAACATATACTAATTAAATGCATTAAAAAAAAAACTTGACATTAAAAACAAAATTTTTATATGTCTAGTTAATTGGGTCTTACACTCGTTTGATGACGAGTACCGATAACATTTATATTTTGAATATCAAGTTCATATGCATCTGAAGCAGCTGTTATTGGGTTAAAATTTACAGGAATTGATACCGGATGACATAGAGCTTGATCTGTTGTTGATGAATGAGCTCTATTGGAATTTTTAGTAAATGCATGTGAAACAATCGATGCATCAATACACATTGGAATATAATGTGTACCAGATGGGTGTAGAACAAATATTGGTACTTTAACAGGAGAATCATACTGTTCAGTTGAAGTTTGTTGTTGTTGTTGTTGTTGTTGTTGTCCGATTGAAGATTGTAAATCACTATGTTTATATTCCTCAACATTAGATATAATACATAATTTCTCATCGTTTTTATTTGATAAATTTGATTTGTTGAATTGTTCTTTCGATAATATTGGTGATTTAATTCGTTTATCAGATAAAGATAAATATTTCGGTCGTTTTCTATCTGGCAAAACTAAAATATTTAAAAAGAAAAAGAAATCAATTCATTCTATTCTATAGTTTTCTTTTATCAAATTGCAATTCTAACCGGTTAGACTTTTTAAATCAATTTCTTTTTCTTTACAATATTGTGCAAATTCAATGAGTTGATCACTTTCGGCATATTCACTAATAAATTCAAATATATCAGAAAGTCCATTTTGATAACCGGTTCGATATGCATCAAGATTTGTATCCGTATTTTTAGCTAATAGAAATAAAAAGACATATATATATGTATATATATAAAATATTATTTTACAATTTTGTTCTAGTGTTAATATTAAATGACGCATATGAGCAATAGCCAATTCGATGATTTCAGTTTTTTCAATACGTCGTTGACTTTCATGATTTTTATGAGGTGTTAATTGTAATAGTTCATTAAGACAAGCATTCATACGATCTCGACGACGTTTTTCAATTAATCGATGAGATTTTGGATCCTATTTTTAAACAAAAAATCGAAAACATATAGAGATTTTTTTAAAATTTTATTACAACGAACTCTTAATGGTATTGATTTTTTCCTTCGACATGTAGAACTTTCATTACCAGTAGTACCCACTGTTGATTGCCTTTTTTTTGTTAAAGAAAATAATAATTTAAAATAAAAAACAAAAAAACAAATCATTATAAATCTACCTGATTTGATCAATGTATTCTTCATCACCTGAATTACTAAATGATTGATCATCAAGAACAATTTCTAATGTTGATGATGATATTGTATCAGATAAACAATCGTCTGATATTCTTTTTTTATTTTCACTACGTTTTTGTAAAGCCATATTATAATAATAATAACTAAAAGTATGTAAAAACTAATACTAAGAAATATAAATGTGTGTCATAAAAAATAGTGATAAAATACAGAGCACCGTAACCTTGATCAGAGTCTACTGACTAAAAGAAGAAGAAAAAAAAGCCAGAATATTTACTGTCATTCCATTTTTTTACTGGCTGTTTTTTATCTTGAATGTTGTTTTTCAAATAACAATGTAAAAGAAAAGAAGCCTATGCTATATACCACGTGATCGTTCGACAGATATATTCTTTAGAAAATCAAATACATTGGATATTGATAGAAATAATATATTGGTTGACAAAGACAATTAAGAGCAACAATAAAGACAATAGCAAAACATAATCGATGAGTAGGAAGACGAACAAACGGGGTGCAAATGTATTGCATACATATATATTTCATATTTTTTCTTACTGTTTCTCTTTCTCTATGTTGAAATATTCGATTTTTAGCTGTCCTGTGTCGTATGTGAAACGCTTGTTTTTCACATAATGTGAATAGGTGGTTTTAATTGATCCTTCATATACAAATGAGAAATAAATGAGAGATATTGTTGCTGTATCAATAGATAGCGAGCTCATAATTCCTCAGTAGATCAGAATGTATCCTAGATTTAAGTTTAACTATTCTCAAACAATTATTTCTAATTTCACTAGATTGATATATTTGTGCAGCAAATTTAAATTCTTGTAAATATATCAAAAAACTTTGCTGCCATCAATCACAAATAGTACTAATTTTTCATTGAAATAGGTTAAAAAAACACATTTTTGAAGAAATAACAAGTTTTGTATGACTAAATGTTGACTTGTGCGTCGTCAATGATTTGAAGTAATATTCTGTTCTTATAAATAAAGAAATACTGTACTGAAAACTTGAATTAGGTCAAGTAGAAGCTAATAATAAAAACGTTCTTGGCCTTCAGTGCCTATGTGTACGTGCCTATTAAACATTTTCAGCACATTACAAAAAACACGCGATGCAATTCTTCGTTTTTTTGGGAGAAAGATTGAAATGAATATTGCTGCGTCGACATTATTTTCTTTTCGATAAAACAGATGAAAATTTCTTCTTTTGAAGTTCGAAATTTAACAAACGCAAGTGTTCACGTGTTTTTTAATGTGTACGTATTTTCACACACAAGTTATGGAAGGTTTTTCTAAATTTCACAAGTATTATAGTTAAGAACAAAAAAAAAAAAGAAACATTCGATTTTTAACTTGTCTATTCGAATATTTCCTAAACTATGTTAGCTCTACATTAGATTCAAAAAGTACAAACATCAAGAGTATAATGAAATTCTTATGATACTAGTGTATAGATATATCATTTGAAATCGAAATAAATGTCATTTCAAAAACATCATGAAAATGTAACAAAAAACAAAAGAAACAATGGAATATTCTATTGTACTATGAAAAGAAAATTCAGAATGTATTACACTACAACTATGACACGTTCATTTGAAAATAAAACATGAATATAGACGTTTTATTGTCATGAAACGTGTTGAAATTTACCTTATTGTTTGGTTTAATAATACTATAACAATAATGTGAAAACGATAAACATAGATGTGTTTTAATAACTACCATATTGTATTTTTTTTTCGTCTCGATTGAAATGTGGGAAAGAAAAAAACAAATTATGTCGAACAATAATACATCAGTTTGTCACATATATAAATATCTCTTATTCTATCGTACAGATATGAGAAAATGTAAAACAGTACTAACTCGAATGATGAATACATATTAAAATAGTTACAAATATTCTTGAAGTTATTTTTGCAAAGAATATTAGAATTTAAAACAAAAAAAAAATAACGAATGCTTTTGTCTTGCTGAATTCTATTTAAAAAAAATGTCAAACTGACTCAATGCATTCATTATTTGGCAATAAAAACAACATAGAGCAAGATGCTTTGTAAATTGAAAATTTGCATCGATTTCTATTGTTGATTATTAGATAATTTATTCACGTCTGGGAAGTATAATTAAAAACATAAAATATTGAATAATACATCTCTGTCGATTTTTTTTAAATTAGAATTCTCCAATACAAAAATAATTCGAAAGAAACAAAACAAAAAAAAAGTGAATCTAGGTTATGGTTATAGTGTGTTGGGTAGCGTAGCCTGCAAAAAAAAAGTGCGAATATTAAATTGAAAATTTTTTTTTCGTGATTTTTTTTGTCGAATTTTGTGTTTTTCTTGTTCTGTATGAATACTAATTGAAATCAAATTTTTCAACATTGTTAACAACTAAGAGTTAAATTTAAAAGAATAACTAAGTAAAACTTATATTGATTGAAATGGCACAATTTTTTGTTCACTTAGTACAGTCATTATTGCAAAAGAAAAAGTTCAGTAATACTTTTTATAGACTACTTAAGTTAAAAGAAATAACTTTCACTCTTATATCTTATGTGTTTACTTAATAACTCATGCAGAAAATAATTACATATTATAAAGTGCATTATACTTATGCTTAGTATCTAGGTTAGAAGGCAAATGTCCTTTTTATGATCTATTGCAGTGCAACGAGAAACAAGTGAATGTCACGTGAAATAAATTTTATGAACCACATTTTAACTATGACTTATATCGTAATTCAACAAACACAGAAACACTAAGTCGCTTGGTGAATGGATCTATTCTTGAACCAACAATATTTTTTTCTCTGTAAAAAAACAAAAAAAAAGACAAAAATAAATTCCAATAAATAAAAATCTTAATTGTATTAATCCATGACGATTACGATTAATAAAAATTAAAAACAAAAATCAGAAAATTTACCATGAAATAAGATAAAGCACAACTATATGATTTATGCTTAATAAATAACACAGGTTAACCGGCTTTATTCTTCTTCTTCTTCTTCTTCTTCTTCTTTTTTTTTTGCTAAAATATAAAATGTACTCAAGGAAAGAACGGGTTGTAAGTGGCGAGAAGGAAAAGATCAAGCTATTCTTCCTTTCATTCTTTTTTCTTACCCATATGATTATACATAGTAGCATTTGGATATTATTTTTCCTTCTATAGTTATTATTTACATTACTACATCGTTTAGGCAAGCAACTGATAAGAAAGGTTTAGGTCACCTTTTCTAACTAAAATTTTGTCGGCACGTGATGATAGTAAAACTATGTTGTAACTTGAGTATATGTATGCATGTTGTCGATTAGTAAAAAAAAGTGAACAAAATTGGATTCATACTTCTTCTTTCTTGTTTATCACATAAAAAAAAAATTAGTATTCACCTGTTTAACCTAAGTAAAAAAGTTATTTATTATTTTTAACAATAACAAATTTAAAAGAAAAAAGGCTTATTTATTAACATTTATTATAACCAAATATATATAAATACATTTTCATAGTTCAGTTCAAAGAAGCAAAAAAATCTATATATAACAACACTTTTTTTTTCCTATTACATAATTAGCCATACATGCATTATATCATGAAATAAAATTAAAAATGCAACCTTGTTTTTCCTAACAACGCACTTGACACAATCAAGGACAACGGAAACGTTAACATAATAAGTTTATATTTGATGAGGCATGCATTTTTTTTTAATCTGAAAGGTTTACTATAAATAATTTATAAAGAATATTATATAATAAACTTGACTTTGTCATAATTTTGATGAAATTATAAACAGAATTCAAATTGAAAAGATGTAAACAAACTTTATTTTAGTTAATTAACACATAGAATTTTCATATTATTTTTTTTAAAAGACTTAAAAAATAATTTCTTTTATTTATGTATATTTCAAATTAATATAGACTGAAGGATATGAATCATCTAAAAATTACATGTTTAAGTATAAAACTTATGATTCTACAAAAAAAAAACAATCTTAAATAAAAGCTCTTTTTCGTTACAAAAATAGCATTGTCCATTTGACTTCAATGTTTTTTTTTCAAATCTTTCAAAACGTTCCATCATAATTAAGTATATACGGATTATTTGTAAGATTTCAAATTTTCATCATTGTCTGTATGATAAAACTATGATAAAGAATGTCAATCATAATTATATCATCGTCGAAATCTAACGATACGTATTAATTGATCATAGAGTCAAAATATGTCGTTATAATCGCTAGTATAAAATGGACAAAATAAACATATGCATCGATTTATGATTTAATCGGACAAAATGAAACTAAAAGATCATTTATTCAATAATAGTCAAACGAATTGAAAGAAAAAAAAAAACATTCATTTCGATTGATTAAATATACATATCGAAGAAATAAATAATAATCTTTTTATTTCCTTGTTTCAAATGCAGCATCAATTGCCTAGTTGTATAATTTATGTGTTTGAATGATTTATTTTTTAACTAATTTTAAATTGAATACAATGAAGACTATATATTTAGAGTATTCTATAAGAATGATGTGTGAAAAAAGTTTTGTATCTTTCTTTCTTGTCGTGTTTTATTTCTAATGAAAAACGTCTAATCTTTATAGACTACTGAAGTCAAAAATAGCTCATATGTTATTCTTAAATTCTTTATGACTCTTCGTCCTACATATTTAATGTGTTTTTTTTTATTCGAAGTGCGTGTAAGACTGCACTGTCTAACTCTATCCTTTTTTCTTCACTTGATACTTTTTATGCGGAGAAAAACGATGGCAAGCTTGATACGTCAAAAAGCTCTCAAAAAATGGTAATTTTTTTTTTTATAGGACACTTTTTCATAATAATAAAAAAGTTTAATTTAACGAACGTCTTCTTCCAGGCATTGCAGTTTCATATGTTCTTTTAAATAAAAGAAAGCGATCACCTACAATAAAGCTCCATCGAGCATTTTTGGATGCGCGATTGAAGAAGTACAAACAAAGAAAAAAAAAATGAAAAAAACTTCTCGCTTTTTTTCTAAAGACAAAGCATATTTTTCAAACAGAAGGTGACGACAAACATCGAAAATTTTTGGAACAGTTTCGATAGTTCTGCCGAAAATAGACT